TCACGATTGATTTTAGAAAAAGAGTGGTTGTCTTCTACCGAGGTTTGTGGATGGAGGAAAACGGGGCCTTCTACACTACCACAGGCAATATTACAGGGGTGGGAGTCAGGTTTTAGAAAAAGAGTGGTTGTGGTCTACCGAGGTTTGTGGATGGAGGACAACAGGGCCTTCTATGCGTGCCCATCCCTGCAACGATGTAAAAAAGAAAAAAGAACACTGGTTCAAATATATTTTATTCGTGCCTCTTGAATTTTTCTCTCTTCAGTCCTGATTAAAGATAATGCAAAACCAGATCGAATTTGGCTGAGGGTTTGTGTGACTCTTTGGTTATGACTTTTCACAGGGCTGCTGTAAAGGTTTTCTGGCAAACCAGAGTTTGGAAGAGCCGAGAATCGATGAGCTCAAGTCTTGTGAGAAGTTCCTCCGGGTTGACCCCGACGGTAGATTTGTCTCAGATTTCACAGCTAGAAAGCAGCTCCCACAGACAGGCGTCTTACCACGAATGGAACGAGCCCCTCAGAGAAGGAGGAGAAGGAGGAGGAACAGAAGAAGAAAGAGGAAATAATTAGAAGAGATTACTTTGAGAGAGAGATTATTTTAAAAAGAGGTTCTATTGAAGTATGCCCAAAATAATAAAGAGTATCCTTTCTGAGAAGTGCTTCTTACGGCTCCGATGAATCTTGCTTTAGGCATGTTGAGACACTGGGGTGAGAAAGCCCCAGCCAGACTCTTATCCGATGGATGAAAGTGATTTGATCCAGGATGAAGGCCTATGGATGTGTCTGAAGATGAGAACGTTTTTGAGGCATTCTTCTTATCAGACTCGCACCATAAATAGCCCCGACATCCTGAATCTAAATCATCTCAGCTGGTGCATCTTTGTGTGGTGTGTTTTTTTAAGTTGTAGGGAACTGGCCCATCAAATAAAAACGAAAGGATGCAAGGCGAAACCATCTCAGGATGTCTGGAATAGGTAACAATTCATTCATAGGCATCTTTCAGTCTTGAGAGACAATGGTAATGTGCTCTGTATGGAGGACTTTGACGCTGTATGCGAAACTGGAGTGTCCTCTCCAGAGCACGAAGCCAGGGTAAAATAATATGGAGGATAGGCTGTTACCCAAGCAGCAAATCCCCCCTCTCCAAATCGCTGAAATAGTCCAATGTGTAGTGTCTTTATTGCGGTAGATTTTACTGGCACTACTTCAGTCTGTTCAATGTCAATCAGTATTCCTACTGCGCATTCAGCCTCTTCTACTGTCTGGCTCTCCACGGAGGACGGCGCACTCCTCTTTTCTCCTTCACAATTGCTTAATGCGTTTCGGCAGGACCTTCCTCAGAAGCTTAAAAGTAAACAAAATGATAAATATGTACATATCAGGCATAGCCTTATAAACCATTATGTGGCTCAAGACCTTATTAACTCATCACAAAACTTATCAAAACCAAGCAAATAGGACAATAAACATATATGTGTGTGTGTGTGACTGAGGACCTATATTTTATACACTTAAAAATAAATGTTAAAAAATGTTAAAGCCTTATAAATGACCTCAATAAGAGAAATAGTCAACACATATCAAAATCTTTATATTTCTCTGAGGGTTTGGCTACATGGTTGAAATGAATGTGGAGCTGGATTGGAGCTTTCAAAACTGATTTAACGTCATGAGGCTTTATGTTTGTGTATATGTCCTTTTGGGTCAGTTTTTATTCTCGTGTCATCGTGCCTTTTCCTCAAGAGTTTACACGGAAATATCAGGCAAGTCCGATGAGCTGACAGACATGGAAAAAAAGAAGAGGCTCTAAGCTCTTTTCCCCTACCCAGACAAGCCAATATGCTCAGTAGCGTTTTCTGAGCCAAGCAACAATAACTGCCCTCCTTCTCCTCAGGTTACTATGCTTTCCCCCCCTGACCTTTCCCCCCACCCACCCATTAGCCTCTTGAGGAGCCTCATGGCAGCTTTGGATGGCCCATTAGAAGTGCAGCTAATTAGTGCAGATGATTTCCTCCTCATCGCTCCTGCTGCTTCTGCTTTTTTTGGTTTAGAAAAGTCAACTGCTCTGATCCGATGGAAAGACAGCACCCCGTCGGTCTTCAAGGAAAGAGTTAAATCTCTGCCCTTCCCTCCTATGCGATCACAATCTTCAATCTTTTAAGACCTTCTGAGTATCTGGAATGCTGATGGAGAAGGAGCAACTAAACTAATGAACACATGCAGGGCTTCTATAAATACAACATTTTAATTTTTAGACTAATTTTTTATGTATTTCAAATGGGCATAGTGCTAAATCGATGTTACAGAGAGGAAAAAAAATGTAAGAGATTAGTATCTGCAGGTTATTCTGCAGTCTGAGACCCATAATCTTAGCATCCCATATTTGACAAACCCCACAGACACAATTTACTCTGACACAGGCATTCACACATGCCAAAATGATTCAAAATAAATCACATTTATAATCTGGTTACAATAAACAACCCCTTTCCAAACTTGCTTTCTAACCAAAAACTGTGCTTAGCTGTGCTTTGTGCAGGCGGATATTTTTAAATCAATTTCAAGTGTGCTAAAACTCCATGCAAAACCAGGAGCATTATGATGTCTCAATGAATAGGTGTCTGACATCCTAGGAAATGTCATGCAGTTGTTGGGAAAAAGGTCGGTTGAACTCGGTGAGAGACTTCTGAGTAAACATGTATAGGACTGTGCCGTGAGCCTGCTCTATAATCAGTAGATCTACGTGCATGTAACTTGCCATTGGATTGTGGTGTTGGTGTTTATCAGCCCATCTGTTGGGTCATGTCAGTTGTGTAATATCAGGGCAACTTTCTACCTGGCTGTGAAGGACAAAGAGCATTGCTCAACTTGCTTGCTTACCTTTAGAGAGGATGATAAAGAAGAGACCATGGTCTCAGGATGTACATTTTACTAACTATACCTTTCAGTGCTTTGTTTTCTTCTTGATTTTCCTTTTTAAAATTTTTCCCAACGTATAACTTACAAATATACAAAAATGACATCCTATATATGTACGTATATATCTATATCTTTGCTCTTGGGGCAAAGGTCTAGGATCCCACTTAGCAGAATGGACAGGAAGACATCCAAATGGCAGTAAGATGATTGTGGCCTCTCAGCAAGCTGGCCAATGTCGAGCCCTGAAGTACGAGGCCAGGTTGTATGGCATCGGAAATACAGGGCCTTCAAAACTGAAGCCTCTTGGTGAATAATAGCCTCGATGCTGCTCATGATCGGGGTCAGGGTACTGCGTCTTCTGCTTTTTTTGTGGGGCGCTTCCATGACCGAGCCTTGAGGAGAACCAGGTCTGGTCCGAGTCTCAGGTTGAACCTCGACCAAGCTTTGAAGAGACTTCCCCTGGCGGGGAAGACAGAGTTGGAGGTTTAGCCATCTTAGAAGAGGTCTTCTTTGGTGTTGAGCCCGAGGGAGGCTTCGATGTTGATACCAAAACCGTCGACCTCGAGCCTGAGGATGCAGATTTTGCCAGCATCCTACTCTCGGACAGAGAACGACCCGCAGCCGGAGAAGCTCCAGAAGGAGGAGCACGCGATGGCTCCATTGTATTTTTTATTTAACGTCTTTTATTTTTTAAAAACTAGGGATAAGGTAAGGAATACAGAAGGTAAAAGGGGATATGAGGGCGGGAAATGGGGGGGGGTCACAGAATATACAATAATCCAATCTGTTCATGTTGCGATATCAAGTCGACTTTCTGCCTTTCTATAATTTAATTTCCCTCCAGGTTTCAACTTACAGTTACATCTTAGTTTAAATCTGTGGTGTTGCTCAAACGCTATCTGGGGACTCAAGCCATTTGTATAATAAATCCCATCGTTCAGTTGCCTTTTTATATTGGACAGTCTTTCAACACTTCTGACAGAATATCCATTTCTGCCGCTTCCCATATGTTCTTAATAAGTTCCTCTTGTTTTGGTTTCTCCGATTTCTTTCAATTCTTAGCATAATGAATTCTGGCTGCAGTGACTATATATATGACCAAGTAATTCTTTTTCTTATTTATATTGCCTGGTATAATGCTCAGTAAAAACAATTCTGGGGTTAGTGGAACATTGCAAAGCAATATTTTTTGTAACAGAGTA